CGGCGAGTACCTCATCCTCGAGTACAACTCATCGGCGCGGCCGCCGTTTCGGCCTTTGAGCGCGGCGCCGCCGCAGCCGGCAGCGCCGCCGCAGCCGGCAGCCGCAGCGAGCAGCGCCGCCGCAGCTGGCAAGCGCAAGGCGTCAGCCTCAAACACGCCAGCCAAGCGCACCCGGAGGAGCGGCGGCGGCGGCGGCGGCGGCGGCGGCGGCGGCGGCGGCGGTGGCGGCGGCGACGGCGACAGCAGCAGCGACAGCGACGGCGCGACATCGCGCGCTCTCATCCCGCACGAGTCGACCACCGCCAGCGTCGGGTCGTCCGGCGGGCCGCAGCAGCAGCCGTCGCTGTCGGCGACGTTCACCGTGCAGGACAAGGACTTGCTCGGTCTCCTCGCGAAGTGCTTGCGCATGGGCAACTCAGCCCCGCTCGAGGGCATGGTGCAGGGCAAGAAAGGCTTGCGCCTTCTGTTGAACAATGCGGCACCGCACACGCTCGGCTTGTCGGAGGAGGATGCGCTGGGGCTGCTGGACTGGCAGCGCCAGACCCTACGACTCTCGGCCAGCAACGGCGCGTCGGCGGAGTTCGCTGCTGCCATTCGGACGATGCTCGACGTGTATCTTTGCGAGGCACCGGACGAGGAGTCCATCGATGCCTCCGGCTTGTCGGTCGAGTGGAAGGGCACTCGCTTCACCCTCCGGCTGGACGACGAGAAGCGGCCTCTGCCGTCCGCGCCGGGGGAGCGCGAGGCGCTGCGGGCAAGGCTTGAGGGTGCGCTCCAGGCGTGTCCTCAGATTGCCGTGGACCTGAAGGTCACACTGATCGAGGGGGGCTCGATCCTCGTCCGCTGCCGCTGCCGCGCGTCCGAGATCCCCGCGGCGATCCTCGCGCTGTCGGGGGGCACCTTGTGCGAGTACCCGGTCATCGCTTTCGACGACGGCACGCCGAGCCCGCGGGTCGACAGCTACGAGTTCGAGGTCCGCGCGCCGGTGCAGGCGCTGCAGGCGCTGCGAACGCTCGTCGAGCCGGCCGGGGCGCTGCTTGGGCAGGAGCAGCCTTTGGCGCTGGCGGAGGCGCCGGCAGAGGCGGCGGACTCAGATATGGCCGAGGTGGCGGGCGGCGTGGGGGAGGAGCGCGGGGAGGCGGGGGAGAGCGAGACGGAGGAGAGCGGGGCGGAGGAGAGCGAGGAGGAGAGCGAGGCGCAGGAGGAGTCGGGTGCGCCGTTGCCACGCCCCCCGCCGCGCCATGTCCTCGCAGAGCAGTCCCCCCCCCTCCCTCTCCTCTTCGTTTTCCTGCCTCTTTCTTTC